AAGTTCTAAGGAAACAACTAAGAGGTATCATCTGCCATAACCATTTACAGCAGTGTCCAAGAAAAAAAACATATTATTCCATTTGTATAGTAAACAAAAGTTAAATAATTGATTATTTATTTACTAAATTATTAATTTATTGAATTTCATTGTAATTCTCAATCAAATGTTCTTAATCACTGTACTAAATATCAGTCTAGGTGCGCACGTCGCGACTTTATTCTAGGCGGTCATTCTAGACGCTTCAACAATTATAAGGTGACGCCTAGGCGGATTAGGCGGCGCCTTGACCGGCTAAGTGATTGTGAATATACTCCCGCCTAAGCGGCTTAGGCGGTCTTGGCAGCGTCTAGGCACTTGTATAAATATTTTCAATATTTTTAATTTACTTTTAAAAAATAAAAATTATTTTAATTTTTTTATATGAAATTTATATTAATTATATAATAAAAATATTAATACTTATTACACAATTAATGCAATAATTATGAATGCATTGAATCTGTGTATTCGATCATATTAATTAATATATTTTATACAATATATCTTATAAATGGTACATCACTACAAATATAAATAAATTTATTAATATTTTCTTGACCCCGCCTAGGCATTTTAAGCGCTAGGCCCAAGTCCTCTGCCTAACGAATGCCTAGTGATTATTAGAATTTTTTTAATAATATGATGATTCTTCTTCTTTTATTTATTTTCTAAAAGGAAGTTTGTATTTATTTTTATTTTTATTTATTTATATTTTTTATCTAAAGGGAGTTCTAAAGAAACAATTAAGAGGTATCATCTGCAATAACCATTTTACAGCATTGTACAAGAAAAAAAGAAAAGAAAAGAAAAGATTACTTAATATTCTATTTTTATCATAAACAGACAATTATTGGTTATTGATTTGTTAAATTATTAATTTATTGAATTCGCATCATAATTCTGAACCAACTCCTTTTAATATGGATTGTCGTAAGGACGGACAAAACTGTGTGGGCAGAAGAATCAAATCATGTTCGTCTATTTCTTCCGTGTTAAATAAATAAACAAAAAGATTAAATGGGGATTCCATTTATGATTCAACTATTAAAATGTATCTGCTGTTTTAAAATTTGTGTTTACTTGTAGAATTTCGGGGTGAGCTTGCTTTAATTATTAGTGTATACCCCGTGCGATGCACGGAAACAATATTAAATTAACAATATTATAAATAGACCTCGAGTTTGAGTCACTCAATGACCCAAGTGAAAACTACTATTGATCCTATTTAAAAAGAGGAAGGAAAAAAAATAATTATAAATTAAAGAGGAAGATAAACAATACTTAATAATTATAAATTAAAGATTCGGGGTCAAACAATGTAAAATTATTTTGTATAAGATAATATAAAAAATTTTGATTACACACCATTTCAAAATTATTATTATACTTTTTTGTACGGTTAGCTTATAATATTTGTAAAAATATTAGTAATTAGACCGATAAAAATTAGTTTCTTAAAGTAGATAATGGATTTTCAGTAGTAATTATAAATTAGTTTCTATTTTATTTTATTATTTTTTTTAAAGATAATGGATTTCTAGTAGTAATTATGAATTGGTTTCTATTTTATTTTATTTTTTTAAATCTGTATAGATAAGAGATGAAATTTTTTAAACACGGGACGTATGCAATGATATTTTTGTAACAGAAGAGATAAGCGTGTAGATTTATACTAAAAATAGGAAAAAGAAAAACAAATATTTATTGTCAAACAACGGTTTTGATAAACTAAAAAAAATGAGCCGATTTTTTTTGCCTATTTAGATTTGTCCAACAATTACTATATTAGGATATATTTAATAATTTTGGCGGTAAAAAGTTTCTAAATTTGTAACAAAGTTATTCTTTTTATATAATGATAGATTTTTAATATAGTATTTGTTTTTTTCCACAAAACTTTGGGTAAAAAGTTGCAGATGACCCGTATCCTGAAACAATATTGGAGTATATCCTAACACCTCAAATCATACTAATTAAAATAGAGCTACTTTATCTTGTTCAAACCTAAAAAGCTAAATTAAACACCTAGCTAGTTAAATTTTTAGCTCACCCTCAAGTTATAGTGGTACGCCAATTATCCTTAAATTGGGTTAACCGGCGAACCTAAGTCTCCTTTATCGAGTTTTGGTTACTTACAATACGTCAGGGAGGGGTCTCGATGGAAAAATCTTTGACTCTCAAGTCAACACTTGCTTGTGAGAATAATGAGAAAATTGTATATTATATAAATATAGTTATATACTTAAGTATTTTGCTGTCAAAGTAAAATCCTGACTAGGAAATGATGTAACCGTATTTATTTTTATAATTTATCACGTCTCTAAAATTTTAGACCTTAGCGAGAAACACTTTTCATCCTTATAGATTTATATCATCTCTTACCATATGACACTTAAGTCCTTAGGTCGTCCAAACAACCTTGCAACCTCTATCCTCACAACCTCTAGTTGTTATTTTACTAATTTTTTATTGTATTATAATTAATTATTATGCCTTATATTACTTAAATTATAAAAATCGTTAATTTTTCGTTGATGTTCATTTTCCAAACAATTTTTTTGTTCGATGAAACCTTGTTATTCCATTCACACCCTTAATTTTGCTAAAATTCAAATTAGTCACAGGTCGTCATTCGTTCGGCCACCCAAAATTGACGGCTACCAATTAAAAGAGCCCCTTGTCCTACCAATCCGCGCAGCCGATCCGACGTGTCATGCGCTAATTTGTTTTCGATGACCTCGAGGATAGCTAATTTCCACAAACACCCCTACATTATTCCTAATTTCCAAAACCATGAACCATGATTTTAAATTTCCAAGAACGTCCCTTCCCTCCGTCATCCCTGGACGCCAGATGATGGGAACACGAAGCCCAATTTCGTCAATCTGGACCCTTTTCTTTCGAAAAACTCCGTGTGTGGTCCCCGACCAAAACTAAAAATAAAATAAAAAATAAATGGAAAATGCATGTGAAATCTGAAAGTACTACTGCTTCACTACAAAAAGGCACACATAGAGAGACCCACACACCACAAGTGCAGTTTATATACAAACAGAACTTCAATTTCTTCTCTTTCATTTTCTCCTTGCCTCTGAATTTCTGCAATTCGCTCTTATTTCCGTTGGTATATCTCCTCTATTTCCGGGTGAAGAGCATGGCGAATCTGAACGGAGCGACGTCGGATCTAAGGACGACGTTTTTGGGCGTGTACTCTGTGCTCAAATCCGAGTTGTTGAATGATCCTGCTTTTGAATGGACCGAAGGTTCGCGTCAATGGGTCGACCGGGTCAGTTTCTTTCTCAATTGACTGTTTTGTGCCATTTATTTTCTCGTTTTCTCTGTTTCGTCATGTAATGCGACCTATAATTTGCTTGTCTTGGCGGTTGGGATGAATCGTGTGTGAAGTGTGGGAATGGAATTGTGTTTTTCTTTTTTACTTAATGGGAAGTAGTTTTGTGCGTCCCTTCGATTTACTGTTTTGGTGCAGAATTTTGCGATTTTGTTTGATCTGTGGATGCGATATCCTGAATTAAGATGCTAAATGCTTCTTAATTAAATGATGTTTAGAAATTCTAAGTCTGTAGTTTCCTAAGTTCTCGGAAAGCTTTTGTTTGGTGTCATACACATGCGCGTCCCTTTGCAGCAGAGGGTTAGACAAATAGCCAGCTGTTAGTGACCAAAAGTTCTCGACTTCAGTGGGAAAATATCTCTGTAACAGCCTGTGGTGAATTGGAATCACGTTTTGCGAAAGACACTTTTGCATAAATTTGCTTAGCTGTGCAAATAGTAAGCATAATATTCTCTTGCTTGAAATTGGGACATTGACGTTTTCTGGAACATGCTGTCGTTGTAAAGTTGCACCAACAAATTACCTTTAGGAGTGCTGACTTGTCATAATTGGGATATCAACTTTACATGATTGGATCATTGATTCTGCCAGAGGAATTAAAGCATAATTTTTTGCCATAAGTAGTATATCGTCCACTTTCTTTCCAACTTGCATCAAGAATCAAGCATATAAGATATAACTTGAATTGCTCCTTTTGGAAGCTCAACTTCGTCAAACTTTTGTAGGTCTCCATCTTTTGAATTTTTCGTTTCCACGTTCATTTTTTGGGGAGATTATTGAGCTTCTATCTATCATTTGTCTACACTCTTTTGCATCAACAGAATTCTGTATGCCTTATATAAGGGCATGCCTCAATTTTAAAACAGATAATTTGGCCACAATGTTGTTTTTTTACTGTGATGTTAAGTCTATGTTCACATTGACATATAGATGTAACCTCCCTTGAAACTTTATTTCTTTCTTTTTTTTAATAGAACTAAAACACTCAATGAATTATTGACCACCAATAAATTCAATATTATGTTTGGTAGTGGAAAAAAATTACATTCTCAATATCTTCAAGGACAAATCTTAGAAATTCAATTCATGACTTCCGGATGTACTCAAATTTTTCCTGAGGGCCTTTAGCATTATTGATGACTGATCTTTACCCAATAAAAAAGTTAGGGCAATGTAGGCCATGGTAACACCGTCATGTTTGACTTTTGGTGATTTGGCTCATGGATTCAATTGTCAATCATGTAAATTGACAATTTTCACATTATTAATATTTAATATGAGATTTTTTGCTGTAGTTATTTCAAGCAATAGAAATGGAATCTTTCTTTTTTTCTGTGATCTCATTTTCTGTATCATGTAATAACATTGACCTCAATAGTTTTAACTCTTAAGAGTGGATTTATCTAACCTTATACAAAGATCTTACAATTATTTACCGTAATTTAAGACTACAATATGCTAATTTGAAAATAAGTGCTTTGTATTCAAATAAGGTAAGTGAATGTATGTTATATAATGTCAATAAATAAACTTATTATTTAATATGGTCAAGAGTAGATGGATTTGTCATTTCTGCTTTTAAAGTAACATAGCTACATCTTAACTTTTGTAACTCAAGACCCTAAATTTCTTTAGGAGCTTATAGTGCAGCACTTATCAATTTCAGCGAGCACTCTTCACACCTTATTAGGTGTTTTGAGGAGATTATGAGCTCACTCAACTATTTAGTGCAGTGTGTTAACTAAGCTAACACATCATATTCTTAAGAGCTTCATTGTAGTTCCTGATTGACGTTCTTTTACGTTTCACAGATGCTGGAGTACAATGTACCTGGAGGTCAGATTTCTGTCATTTATTGTATTATTTGAATGCATTTCCAGGAGAACACCTCCCTCTAATATCAGATACTGATTTATTAACCAACAAGAATATTGTGGTAAAGAATGAATTATGGTTTTCAGGGAAGTTAAATAGAGGCCTGTCAGTTATTGATAGCTACAAGCTACTTAAAGAAGAAAAAGGCTTAACTGAGGACGAAGTATTTCTAGCTAGTGCTCTTGGCTGGTGTATTGAATGGGTACGTTCATAGTTATAAGCCTGTATTTAGTCTACAACTGCACAACCGTTTCCTATAACATTTTGCTATGTAAGTATCTGATTCAAACACGAAATACAGCTTCAGGCATTTTTTCTTGTCCTTGATGACATTATGGACAATTCTCACACACGACGTGGTCAGCCATGCTGGTTCAGAGTCCCTAAGGTTTGTGCCAAATCCAAACGGTTGTAACACTCTTTGATATTCTCATTACTTAGACATTCATCTTGAATGAACTTCTGTTCTAGGTTGGAATGATTGCTATTAATGATGGAATTATGCTTCGAAATCACATCCCCAGAATTCTCAAGAAGCACTTCAGAGAAAAGCCTTACTATGTGGATCTGCTAGATTTGTTCAACGAGGTAGTACAACTATTCTGTTTTGGTGATGTATAATATTTTTTATAGAAAAGTTCTCATCCTCTATTTGTCACTTTCTTCAGGTGGAGTTTCAAACTACTTCGGGACAAATGATAGATTTAATTACCACTATAGAAGGAGAAAAAGATTTGTCAAAATACTCGTTGCCACTGTGAGTACAGCATGCTGAAAATGAAAACAAAATATTAAACAAGATCCATGGACATATTATTTTTAGTTGCTTCGCATTATAGACTTGTGAATTTATTATATTGGTAAGTTGGCCACTTCACATTGTACCGCAAAGGCTTCATGGAAAATCCTTATTTTCAATTCTCAGTTTAGGTTTTTACGCAAATGCTCATCCTATAGTAAACTCTTGCCTGATGTATCATACTATCTTGAGTACCTTATTCTATGCACTTTTGCATTTTCTAATGTTTTAAGCACATTTTTTTTCCTTCAAATCTTTGTTTTGATGTTCTTAATGTTTAAGATTCTGGTTTTATTTTCTGCAGTCATCGCCGCATTGTTCAGTACAAAACTGCTTACTACTCATTTTACCTTCCAGTGAGTGGGGAACATATTCTTTCTATTTAGTTTACATTGTAAACGACAAAATGTTGTTTCCCAGCTTTATTTCTCGATACTTCGGTAGGTCGCATGTGCATTGCTGATGGCGGGTGAAAACCTAGAGAATCATGTAAATGTGAAAGATGTGCTCCTCGATATGGGTATCTACTTTCAAGTACAGGTGAGATGGTCTGTTGCATCTCATGGGCATCGCCATTAATGATGTTTGAACTTTTAACATTGTTTCGGAATGAGAACTTAATTTCAAGCAAACCTTTAAGTAGAGCCTTCTATGTAACGACTAATAAGGTAAGATTTATCTTCCACACATGTAGTAAAAGTATCTTGTTCCTTCATTCTCTGTGATTTATTTTGGCTTAAATTATATAAGTCTACGTACACAGAGAGTCTTAGCTTGGACAACCAGATACTTATGCAACAAAGGTTTTTTTAAATGTAAACTCCATGTCCTAATATGTGCTGTATCTGTTCAGGATGACTACTTGGATTGCTTTGGGGAACCTGAAAAGATTGGGAAGGTGAGTCTTTGAGCTCTCTCTCGGTGGTTTCCAAAAGCAAAATAATTCTGTATCTAATTAGCAATTTTTTTACCGAATTCATTCTTGCCGCATCAGATTGGAACAGATATTGAGGACTTCAAGTGTTCTTGGCTGGTCGTGAAAGCCCTGGAGCTCTGTAATGAAGAACAAAAGAAAATTCTTTTCGTAAGAACTAAGACGCCTATGCACTTTTTTAATGCTTTTACCATTTTCTTTATTATGATTCAAAATGCGTTTTATAAACATTCTGGACATGTTATTACCAGGAGCACTATGGAAAGGAAAGTCCAGCGGACGTTGCGAAAATCAAAGCCCTCTACAACGAGCTCAATCTCCAAGGCGTATTTGCCGAGTACGAAAGCCAGAGCTATGAGAGGCTCACGAGCTCCATCGAGGCTCACCCTAGCAAACCTGTGCAGGCCGTGCTCAAGTCCTTCTTGGGCAAGATATACAAGAGGCAGAAATAAAACAAAGTATGTTCCTCTTTCTGAGGTTGTTTGTACTACACTTGATATTGTGATAGGTGTGTGTTGTACAAGGATGGGGTTTTACGGAATCCCCCTAGTTTATCCCGCTTGTGTTTAGTCTTTATGTTCTGTGATTTTCCAGATTTTCTTGAAAGGGAATTGTCATAGTTTATCCCGCTTGTGTTTAGTCCTTATGTTCTGTGATTTTCCAGATTTTCTTGGAAGGGAATTGTTGTCATTCTTTTAGATTTCAAAAGTGTAGTGTGACCATTTCTTGGTTTGTGTAGCAGTATTGATAAATGTAATTTGTGGTGTTCCTATGATCTTCTTTTGGAAATGTTTAAGCCAATAAATGTTGAGAGCTGATAACTGTTCCATCCGCAATCAATAACTCCTTTAAATTACGTGTTGCGGTCAGCTTTCATGGGCTGGTTAGGCACGATGAGCTCATGAAAACATCAGGCCAGCGTTTGAAATGTGCTCTAGCAAAAGATGCGAGCAATCCTCAGAAGACTTTTTCTCTTGTTTGTGGAGCTACATGCCTACATCATATTATATATANCTGCTGACATGGCTGAAAATTTCTGAGGGCATTATAACCGCCACACCAATCCAAGTTCTATGTTAAATTTAATAGCGCTTAATATATATAGACACTACGTATAAATAAATCAAATTAAATTTTGAAGATAATGTAAATTATGTTAAATATATTAATAAGATATAAAGTTATAATAATAAAAATATAATAAAATAAATTTTATTATGTTAAATTAAAATAAAATTTTAAAAATAATAAATTAAATTTTAAAGATAATGTAAATTATATTAAAGTATATTAATAAGATATAAAGTTATAATAATTAAAATATAATAATGAAAAAATAAACTAAAATAAAGTAAGATAAAATTTATGTAGTAGAGCGCATTTTAAATTAAATTAACTAATTTTACATATTTCTTATTTATTAAAATAAAATTATTTATATAAATTTGGAAATGAAAAATAATAATGAAAATTGAAATTAAAAAATAAATTAGATTAAAGTACACCAGTTAAAATAAATAAAAATAATATAATATAAGATAATAAAGTATAATAAATTGTAAAGTAAAATAAAATAATAAATCAAATAACTTATTATGAATTATTAAATTAAAATAATTTAATAAATTATTTATATTATTTTTTAATATAATAATTAAATAAATTATTATAATAATCTCAAATAATATTTTTTTTTATTTTTAATATAATAATTTAAAAAATAAACTAGATTAAAGTACACCAGTTAAAATAAAATAAAAATAATATAATATAAGAAAATAAAGAGTTGTAACTTATGATATAAATAGATAAAATCACATTTATACAAAATGCTTAGGGCGTTTTTGGATATGAGTTATGATCCAACTCAATTAGACATGGCCAGTCAATGAGTCTGGGCCCCGGCCCGGCCCGGTGGGCCAACGGTCCACAAATGCCTGGCCCAGAACCGAACCGGAGGTTGCTTAGGGCCGGGTCATCGGACTGGCCCGGTCCCGCCGGTTTATTAGAAAAAAATAAAAAAAAATAACTGTTGCCCGGCCTCAGGCCCGGACGAACCGCCAGGGAAAAAAAAAAAGAGGCCAACCAAAACCGAACCGGCCCTTACATGGCCGGTTTTAGTCCGAGTCGGCCCGTGGTCATGTCTAAAACTCAACCGGTTATAACCGCTTGAGGCATTAATTCAAAATCCAACTCAATTCAACCCTCCTACTTTTTTAAATATAGTTAATACAAATTAATTATTTCACACATCACACCAACTTTAATTCACTGTTAATCGACTCACATAAATTTAACTACATATTACTTCATATAATCTCTCTCTTACTTTTACATCATATCAAATTTAATCATTACAAATCTACTTTATTCAAAATAATTCACTTGAACTCACTTTAACTCACCAAGTGGGATCATAGCCATTTTAATTCATATCGCATCGCACTTTAATAACCCAGTTGGTGAGAGTTGTTTTTATAATCCAAAAGTTGCGGGTTCAATTCCCATCATTGAGATTTTATTTTTAAGTCAACATATTGACTATCATTAAGAGTATAATGATAAAATCAAGGAAATATTGAGATTATAATGATAAAATCAATGAAAAAGTAACATTATGTAGTAAAGTAACACCATGAACAAAAAGAGCCAGTGTGCAAGAAGATATTAAATAGAAAGGGACCAGGAAGATTTGATGCAATAGGCCCTCTCAAAATTCAAAGGTTTGACCCACCAAAAGATCGGAAAAAAAAAAAATAGAATGCATGAAATGAAAATCAGAAAATGAGGAAAGGTACCATAGCCATGTATCACTATCATGTATCTATATGGAGATGGCAGTTGGAGACAGAAAATGAAATTATACGATGCATACTTTTTAAGAACTTATTATGGAATACTTATTTTTTGAAAAAAAAAGATTATTTCACAAATTTTTATGGTGAATAATCGATTATATCTATATCTATATCTATATATATATATAAAAAGATTTGATTATTTTTAAAATAGTAATTGTTTCCCACTAAAAAATAAACTTATTACTATTTGGGAAACTTAAAAGTCAGATTTTATGGAATGAAATCACAGAAATTTTAAATATTGGTTTTGTATGGATGGCAAGTCATTTCCTTTGGCATGAAAAATTTAAATATATACGTAGAGATGGATTGTTTTGGCATGGAAATCTGAAATGTTTAATTTTAGTTTTATATGGAAAGTCTATATTTGTTACATGGAAAAGTAAAAAAAAAAACAGAAAATATATTTTATTAAAAATAAATAATTTGATATTTTTTGTTTCCCAATTTTTATAATATACCGAAATACATTATAAATGGTCAAACACAGAGAACCAAGTTTTTTTCCACAAATTTTAATATGAAGAAAATTACATCATATCAATCCTGTGAAATATCACTAACTCTCTCTCTCTCTCTCTCTTTCTCTCTCCATATATATATATATATATATATATATATATATTATATAAGTTTGTATTTACCTGAAATACTAACTAAAATCCTGCAAAAAAATATCAATTTTAACTTTATTAGTAAGTTTTTTTTAAATATTTTTTAAAAGTGGCGACAATTCATTTGAAATTCAAATTAAAAAATCAATGTAATTAATGTACGAAATCATTTTAGTTAAATATTACGGCTATATATTTCCTTTATTAGTTGTATAGTTTAAATTTGGTGTGTAATATATTGACAAAAACTTGCACCTATTACCTTTATTAATTGCATGGTTTAATTAGTATATAATATATTGAAAATAAAGATTTTTATTTGAAATTAAAAATCAAATAAACAATTATTCGTAACTTACGGGTCAATATTAATTTGGACGTAAAATATAATAATCAATAGTTTAATAAGTTACTCAACTACTTAAATATTTTGAGTTAGATAGTTCATACAAAAATAAATTCATTTTAATTGATAAAACAATATAAACTTTATATTTATACTTATTACTCACATAAGTTTTTAAATATATGATAAAATTTTATCAAAATAATTATTTTATGGAATCACATTATAGTCAAATTGAATTTCCAAATAAAATTTTGAAATGATACTTATTTTGAAACGAATATAATGTAATTTATCACCAGTTATGTGCACCATACGGGTTGTGCTAATTTCAAATAAACATTTTCATGTAATTTTATATAATATTTTCAATAATTAATATAGGTAAATTGTATTACATATAGATATCATATTTTTAATTTATAAATATGATTTAATAAAGATTAATTAATAAAATATTAATGAATATCTCTTACCCGTGCATCGCACGGGATTCGTACTAATTTTGTAATAAATATTCTTGATAAAGAATTATAGGTATAAATATAGTAGTAAATATCTCCTTAAAACAAAGTTAGATCCCAAAATTTGGACAAAAATATTCTCCCAATAAACTATTACTACCAAATATCAACTCTCGTCATATCTTCCGTAAGCAAATCGAAATGAAAAACCGATGAAATTGTTTCGAGTTTCGATTCGATTTCGTGAATCATTAATGAAAGCAAAAAATAAAAAGTCAATGAGTCCAAACTCCAAACAGCAAGAACGCGCAGTTGCAATTGGAAAAAAGCGAAACTGCATCGAAAAGTCATCCATCTTTTCTCTATTCAACTATATTTCCCACCTTTCTTCCTTCTTACCATCTGCAAAATTCAAGTTCCATTTTTTGTGGGGTTTTAACATTTTTCCTAATTTTATTCTCCCGTCTCCAATTTCATCTGCCATTTTGGATCACGAGAGATCATTCAATTTCAACTTGCTCCTGCAACGTTGCAGTTTTACCGCGCTTCTTGATTACACACCGTCCTCACAATTTCTGGCATTGAATTTTAATTAGAATTTGCTGTTCATTCCTTTTACGTTTCTTTTTTTCTAGGGATTGAGGTCCTCTCCTGGGACTGGGAGTGTATTTTCTGATCTCTTTTATCACCCATTTCTAGTGTGTGTATATATTTGTATTCATAGTGTTTCATTTTTTTTTTCTTCCAAGTTCATATGTTTTCGCCTTTTTGCGTGATTAGAAATTATTGCGATGATTTTCTGCTGCTTTGAAGTCAATTGTGAGTTGTGACCCTTTTCTCCTGTACTTAATCACGGTGTGCCCCACCTGTAATTAATTCTTGGCAGTGAAATATCTTTGGTGATTGTTGAAGAATGTGATAATTGTTTATTCTTTGATGAAACAAAAAGCAGAAAGTCTTCCTGCAACATTGCTGACTTAAAAAATGAAACTTCTAGTCCGTGTGATTGAAGCGAAAAACATACCAGCCCTTGACCCAAATGGGTTCAGTGATCCATATGTGAAACTGCAGTTGGGCAAGCAAAAGTTTAGAAGTAAAGTTGTGAAGAAATGCCTGAGCCCATCTTGGTGTGAGGAGTTCACCTTTAAGGTGGACGACTTGAAAGACGAGCTTCTGATATGTGTTTTGGATGAAGATAAGTACTTCAATGATGATTTTGTTGGGCAGATCAAAATCCCCGTCAGTCACGTTTTCGAAGCCAAAGACAAGTCCCTTGGAACTACCTGGTATATTCTGCAGCCAAAGAATAAAAAGTCCAAGAACAAGGATTGTGGTATTATATCTTCTTTTATCTCTATATTTGTTGTTTTGAATTAACAATTGATTACTTCCTCTATGCTAATAGTCTGAATTATTTCGGTTTCAACCTTCTGCATTGTAACTATTCGGGTTGCTTGCTTATGTAATGTGGATGTTTTTAGTTGTTGGTCAACTGTTATTCATGGTTATATGAAAGTAGAAGTCTTGATGTGGTTCTTATCTCTATGTGCTTGCAGGTGAAATTCTTCTAACTATATGTTTCTCTCATAATAACACGCCGTTCGACCTCTTACCGGCTGACACCATTGTTCTGCCTAGAAAATCAGCTGACTCAATAATGGACAGTCCTTCGAGATCTTCTCCCGTTAGGTCATCTTCTACCACGAGATTAGACGAAACCGTCTCCTCAAAAGAGGAAAAACCTCATGCCCCAACATTAGCCTGCCGAATAGCACAAATGTTCAACAAGAATCCGGACTCGACATCCGTGTCGAGTTCGGTTGAAGCAGCTGAGATATTAGATTCGCCCGAGAGCTTGGATCCTGTGGTAATGGAGCAAAACTCCGAGGAGCAAACCACGTCCGTTGATTTTGATGAGATGATGAAAATCATGGAGACAAAAGATCAAGGAGGTGAGATTCCGAGTAGTTTGTCAGGAGGCATTGCACTCGACCAAATCTATGGGACATCTCCTTGGGAATTGAACTCGATACTGTTCTCACCGGACTCGGACTTTTGGAAGACCGCATCTGATTCACAGGGATCTACGGATTTGCAAATAGGTCCCTGGAAGTTTGAAAATAACGGTGAGACCCTAAAACGAGTGGTTTCTTACACGAAAGCTGCTAGTAAGCTGATCAAAGCTTTGAAAACGACCGAGGAGCAGACTTACCTGAAAGTCGACGGTAAGAATTTTTCTGTAATTTCGAGTGTAAGCACGCCGGATGCTCCTTATGGGAAAACTTTCAAGGCTGAGGTGCTTTACTGCATAACGTTAGGGCCCGAGCAGCCATCAGGAGAGCAGACTTCACGTCTGGAGGTTTCTTGGCGAATTAATTTCTTGCAGAGCACGATGATGAAGGGTATGATAGAAAGTGGGGCAAGGCAAGGTATAAAGGAGAGCTTCGAACATTATGAGAAGCTGTTGGCTCAGATTGTGAAGCCACTCGATTTGAAGGATATTGGGTCAGAGAGAGATCAGATGCTGGCGTCCCTTCAGGTGGAACGTCAGTCGGACTGGAAACTGGCCGTTCAGTATTTTGCTAATTTCACAGTGATATCTACTGTTTTAATGGGCTTGTATGTGCTCGTGCATGTATGGCTGAGTATGCCGAGTACGGTTCAGGGTCTTGAGTTCGTGGGTTTGGACTTGCCGGATTCAATTGGTGAGGTGATAGTGTGTGGTGTGTTGGTTTTGCAAGGGAAAAGAGTGCTGGAGTTGATGTCCCGGTTTATGCAGGCCCGAGTGCAAACGGGTAATTTACTATTGACTATCATCTGAGTAAAGATCTATTGATCATACGTAGTTAATGCATTTTGGTCAAATCTATGCAGCTTATTTTGCTAATCAAATATGATTTTAGTTTTACATAATATATCGACATCATGGCTTTAGTCTCAATTGGCCCATCTTCTTTAGCATGGTTTATATGTTCCTGATGATCTATTTTTTATTTTTTATTTTTTTTTCTCTTTCCTCTTATTATTTAATTACAGGTAGTGATCATGGAATCAAAGCACAGGGAGATGGCTGGTTGCTCACAGTTGCACTAATTGCAGGAAGCAATTTGGCGGCCGTTGACTCGAGTGGGTTCTCTGATCCCTATGTTGTGTTCACTTGCAATGGGAAAACAAAAACCAGCTCTATCAAGTTTCAAAAATCTGATCCTCTTTGGAACGGTACAGTCTGTTATCCTCGTCTGAGGGATTGCTTAGAATTCTTTAAATCAGTGTGTTCAAGTGGCTTCTTCATTAACAACAATGGCCCCTTGCAGAAATTTTTGAATTTGATGCAATGGAAGACCCTCCCTCGGTGCTGGACGTGGAAGTTTTCGATTTCGATGGCCCTTTTGATGAAGCTACATCTCTTGGACGTGCTGAGATTAATTTTCTAAAATCAAATATTTCAGAGCTGTCAGATATTTGGATTCCTCTACAAGGAAAGCTGGCCCAGGCTTGCCAGTCGAAGTTGCATTTAAGAATATTCTTGAACAATACCAGAGGTGGTAATGTTGTTAAAGATTATATATCTAAGATGGAGAAGGAAGTAGGCAAGAAGGTAAAGTAATAATCTCTTTTTTTCCTAGTTACAGTTTCACATCATAGTGGAATATCCTTTTTTTTTTTCTTTATGTGCTACCTTCTGGTTCAAATAATGCGGAAACTTTTTCTTTTGGCAGATAAGATTGCGTTCTCCTCAAGCAAATTCAGCATTTCAGAAGCTTTTTGGGCTACCACCTGAGGAATTTCTTATCAATGACTTTGCTTGTCACTTAAAACGGAGAATGCCTCTCCAGGTAATTAATTTGGCTAGTTATTGTAGTACTTCTACTCATATAGTAACAGAATTTACATAGGGAATATCAAAATATTATAGAAGTTGGTGAAGTTTGGCGATTATTGATTAAATTCTTACATTTCTCGGGAAATTTTATGTCTCATTACTGATTTAAGGTTGTGGTCCCAGGGGCGGTTGTTTCTGTCGGCGAGAATAATCGGGTTTCATGCAGATCTATTTGGGCACAAGACAAAGTTTTTCTTTCTGTGGGAAGATATAGAAGACATTCAAGTCATACCTCCAACTTTGTCATCAATGGGTAGTCCAATCATCATCATGACATTAAGGCCAGGGAGAGGATTTGATGCACGGCATGGAGCAAGGACTCAGGATACAGAAGGCCGGCTCAAGTATCATTTTCATTCATTTGTGTCTTTCAATGTGGCACACAGGTAACTTCAAGTGTGGCTCTGTTATTGTTATGCAATTAATGAAATTTGTAAATATGTCTTCTTGCAGTTGTGGGTATTTCTTTTAGTGTGTTTTTCTAGATCTGTTCTCTTCACCTTGTAGCCTGTTTGTGCAATGCCACATCCATATTATGTTTGAAATAAACGTATTAAAAAAAATATTTATCTGATTGGAATCCCAACCATTAAAACTTAGTTTTATGCAACCGTTTTGATAATTTATCAATTCTCTCGATACTGGATAACTTCCAAATCTTTCTGGTAAGACTCGGATGTTTTACATGCCATGGAACTATTTTTTTATGACAGGGTAACCATTTGTTTAACCCCATTTTATTTCCATAGAGGATGCGCGAAAATTTTGGTTTGGAAAATGGAATAAATGTATTGAGAGAGTGATTGGGTATAAGATAAAAATGTGATTATGATAATGTGTTAGTCCATTTTCAGGAAAGTAGTAAATGGTTGTGATTTGTGCTATGAAAAATAGTAGAGACAGTGTATTTATGACATGATCGTGTATTATCAGAACAATCATGGCACTGTGGAGGGCAAGGTCTTTGACCCTCGAGCAGAAGGTACAAATCGTGGAGGAAGAATCTGAGGCTAATATTGTCCAAGCTTCTGAAGAGGATGCCCTGACCAAGAATCTCACGTCTACAGACGAGGAAATCGACCCTAAAAACCTTCAAGCAGTGGATGAAGAGTCCGAGCCCAAGAGCCTTTCCACTGAGGAAAGTGGCTCGTTTTTGGGAGTCGAAGATGTTAACATGTCCGTTGTTTATTCTTCAATCCTCTCTCTTCCTGTGAGTATTTTCCCTTTTTCTTNTCTTCATGGAGTTGTTCAGAGGTAGTGAGATCGATCGAAGGGTGATGGAGAGAGCTGGCTGCCTCAATTACTCTCACAGCCCTTGGGAATCTGAAAAACCGGACGTGTACCAGAGGCAGCTGTATTACAAGTTCGACAAGCGCATATCTCGTTACAGAGGGGAAGTGACCAGCACTCAGCAAAAATCTCGACTTTCTGGGAAAAACGGTTGGCTCATTGAGGAAGTCATGACTCTCCACGGAGTCCCGCTTGGCGACTACTTCACGGTATGCTCATCTTTTATTTTTCATTTTCTATTATTTCTTGATGGCATTATCTTGTACTAAATATATGGGTTGGCCTATTTACAGCTTCACTTGAGGTATCAAGTCGAAGATTTACCTTCAAGGTCTGTAGGTTGCAACGTGCAAGTACATTTTGGGGTCGCGTGGTTGAAAGACACCCGACACCAAAAGAGGATAACAAAGAACATTGTGTCCAATCTTCAAGAACGTCTTAAAGTCATGTTCAGTGTATTGGAGAAGGAATACGTCTCGGGATCATAGTTTTTTAACCTCACAAATACTTACACGACCACAGAACAAACAATCTCTTTAAGTTTGTTGGGCTGATTTTTGCTGCGCGGGTTCAAGCGGCAAACTAACTCGGCTTTCTGATTGTACATAGGATTGACAAAGTTGACTGCATTGCTGCTTAAGGGCGGGACTTTGGTCGAGAACTGAAAGGTGCTCCTGTATTGTGATATATGGGTTTTATAATTTGTTGTAGCATTAGTACAAGTTATATCTCTTGTTTCTATGAATTTTATCCTTCATGTTCATTTGCCCATAGTGTCTATTTGGAGACTTTAATGTACTATTTGTTTAATGGCTTCAGTTAGTGTAACCAATTTTGACATGAAAATTTTCACAATGGACTCGCAGAATTTTTCTGCCTTCAGTGTAAATTCAGAAAATTGAAGCAGGTCTAAATTTGCAGGTGTTGTCTGTTAGCAGGCAAATATATGTACTTCAGCTGAACTCATTTTTAAGATTTAATATACTCCTAAATATTTGTCTTTCTGCAATTATATAAGATGTATTAAAATATCTTTAAAAATTCGGTTTTTGAGAATTTATAAACCTTTAGCAGAAACATCTAGCTAAAGAGCGTCAAATATTATGCTCGTATTTTTTTTCAACCTGAACTCATGTCCGATCTCAAAACAATGGAGATCGTATATTTTAGCTGCAAATTTTAACCATATCAGAGCAAAATTAACATGCAACCGATATAAAACTCAAAACTAAAACAACAATCAAGTAGTCAACACTTCCAGAGTCCAAGTTTCATCACCACTATAGAACTCCACAAGTATTTCACCTCAAAACTTAATGGTTTATCTCAAGTTTATCTTTCGTATACTTTTCTGTTTTCACCTTAGTATCTGCTACATATTCTACGAACCCTGTGAAATACCCTTCACCATCATCTGAAAAACGTACAACAAAATCTCCATGAAAATCGTATAATTCAATTATCGGAGAATTTCGTACATACTGAATACACAAACTAGCTTCTAACTGAAAATCCTAACCATACAAGATAAAAGTAACCGGCACACGATTAGAAACTCAAACCTACAAAAGTTTTTTGCAGCTTGCTCGTCTTTT